GACGCACGGTCTGCCTGCTCCAAAGCTTGCTACAAAAAGATTTGTCTACCACTCCTTCGGCTCAACAATTATTTCATCTGGTTATCCTGTGAAACAAATCCGTTGTAATAGAGGGCAGTCCCCATACTTGAGATACATACTATTGCTATTTGCAACTGGCCATTTGCTGATGCGCCATTCAATGCGGTGGCTGACTCGTGCCTTCCTTTCTACATTCTACGCCACGCCGTTTCTTATAGGTTAGTGTGCTTGGAATAAGCGTGCCTGTTTAGTGTAGAACGCCTGTCCGTTCACAGTATTGCGGCCTGGCTGCCCGCATTTTCAAGGCATTCTACGAAACACGAGAAGCAACAAAAAAGACGCGTACATCTACCCACACGACGAGCTGGAGTAAATGTGTCGCAGGGAGGTGAGGGTATCGGTTGAATGTTGTGTAATTGAGTATGGTTTGTAAAATGCTTAATTGTCATTTCGACTTCATTATTTCTATTTATTGAATGAAGGAGAAGCGCTGCCCTCAACGAGCGATGTGACACTGTTGTTGGGTTGTACCACACTGCTGCTTGAAGGTACTGTTGCTTCCATCGCATCTACACGAGTCAAGAAAAGCGTCAAGTCAAACAAAAGCCATGTAAAGACGCCTTTGACTGAATTCTAAACGCGCGATCTGGTGCCTACGTATACCGGTTAGCTGGTGAACTGCTGTGCAGCGCGAGAAGTTAGTTTTTTACTAGCAGACGCTGCCTGCAACGGCCTTCAAGTTAATGTTCTCTCAATGACGTTTCGTTTGATATTCATGAAAGCACGTTAGAGAGTGCTTGCATGACTGTTAGTCGTGATGACGTCACGTGAGTCAATAGTGATCAAGTCGGTTGGCCGAGTCATAAGTATAACATTATTGCTCTCTCACAGACGTTTCGTTTGATATGCATGAAGACAGGTTAGGACACCGCGTGCGTGGGTGTCAGGCGTGATGGCGTCACGCCAGTCACTAGTGATGACGTCACTGGGCCTTGTGACAGCGTTCAAGGTATTACTCTCTCAAAGGCGTTTCGTTTGATATGCATGAAAACAGGTTAGGGCAGCGCGTGCGTGTGTGATAGGCGTGATGACGTCACGCCAGTCACTAGTGATGACGTCACTGGGCCTTGTGACAGCGTTCAAGTTATTACTCTCTCTAAGACGTTTCGTTTGATATACATGAAGGCAGGTTAGGACACCACGTGCGTGGGTGTCCAGGCGTGATGACGTCACGCCAGTCACTAGTGATGACGTCACTGGGCCTTGTGACAGCGTTCAAGTTATTACTCCCTCAAAGACATTTCGTTTGATATGCATGAAGACAGGTTCGGACACCGCGTGCGTGGGTGTCAGGCGTGATGACGTCACGCAAGTCACTAGTGATGACGTCACTAGGCCTTGTGACTGCGTTCAAGTTATTACTCTCTCAAAGACGTTTCGTTCGATATGCATGAAGACAGGTTAGGACACCGCGTGCGTGGGTGTCAGGCGTGATGACGTCACGCCAGTCACTAGTGATGACGTCACTGGGCCTTGTGACAGCGTTCAAGTTATTACTCTCTCAAAGACATTTCGTTGATATGCATGAAGACAGGTTAGGGACACCGCGTGCGTTGGTGTCAGGCGTGATGGACGTCATGCCAGTCACTAGTGATGACGTCACTGGGCCTTGTCACAGCATTCAAGTTATTATTCTCTCAAGACATTTCGTTTGATATGCATGAAGACAGGTTTGGACACTGCGTGTGCGTGTGATAGGCGTAATGACTCACGCGAGTCACTAGTGATGACGTCACTGGGCCTTGTGACAGCGTTCAAGTTATTACTCTCTCAAAGACATTTCGTTTGATATGCATGAAGACAGGTTTGGACACCTGCGTGCGTGGTGTCAAGGCGTGATGACGTCACGCGAGTCATTAGTGATGACGTCACTGGGCCTTGTGACAGCGTTCAAGTTATTACTCTCTCAAAGACATTTCGTTTGATATGCATGAAGACAGGTTTGGACACCGCGTGCGTGGGGTACAGGCGTGATGACGTCACGCCAGTCACTAGTGATCACGTCACTGGGCCTTGTGACAGCGTTCAAGTTATTACTCTCTCAAAGACATTTCGTTTGATATGCATGAAGACAGGTTTGGACACCGCGTGCGTGGGTAACAGGCGTGATGACGTCACGCCAGTCACTAGTGATCACGTCACTGGGCCTTGTGACAGCGTTCAAGTTATTACTCCCTCAAAGACATTTCGTTTGATATGCATGAAGACAGGTTCGGACACCGCGTGCGTGGGTGTCAGGCGTGATGACGTCACGCCAGTCACTAGTGATGACGTCACTGGGCCTTGTGACAGCGTTCAAGTTATTACTCTCTCAAAGACATTTCGTTTGATATGCATGAAGACAGGTTAGGACATCGCGCGCGTGGGTGTCAAACGTGATGACGTCACGCCAGTCACTAGTGATCACGTCACTGGGCCTTGTGACAGCGTTCAAGTTATTACTCTCTCAAAGACACTTCGTTTGATATGCATGAAGACAGGTTTGGACACCGCGTGCGTGGGTGTCAGGCGTGATGACGTCACGCCTGTCACTAGTGATGACGTCACTGGGCCTTGTGACAGCGTTCAAGTTATTACTCTCTCAAAGACATTTCGTTTGATATGCATTAAGACAGGTTTGGACACCGCGTGCGTGTGTGATACGCGTGATGACGTCACGCTAGTCACTAGTGATGACGTCACTGGGCCTTGTGACAGCGTTCAAGTTATTACTCTCTCAAAGACATTTCGTTTGATATGCATGAAGACAGGTTTGGACACTGCGTGTGCGTGTGATAGGTGTAATGACGTCACGTGAGTCACTAGTGATGACGTCACGCGGCGTAGTGCCAGCATTCAAGTTATTACCCTTTCAAAGACGTTTTGTTTGATATGCATGAAGGCACATTATAGAGTGCTTGCGTGAGTCTTAGGCGAGATGACGTCACGCTAGTCACTAGTGATGACGTCACTGGGCCTTGTGACAGCGTTCAAGTTATTACTCTCTCAAACACGTTTCGTTTGATATGTATGAACTCAGGTTAGACGCTGCGTGCGTGGGTGTCAAACGCGATGACGTCACACGAGTCACTAGTGATCATGTCACTCTACCGATTGACAGCGTTCAATTTATTAGCCTCTCGAAGACGTTTCGTTTGGTATACATGATGGCAGGTTAGACATTGCGTGCGTGGGTGATTGGCGTGATGACGTCACCTAAATCACAAGTGATCAAGTGAGTTGGCCGAGTCATAGGTAACACGTTATCGCTCTCTCAAACACGTTTCGTTTGGTATGCATGTCGGTAGGCGAGTAAATTACTTGTGCGGGTGATATTTGTGATGACGTCCCCTGAGGAACTGGTTATCAGGTGACTTGGCCGAGTTTTCGGTATCAAGATCCCGCCCTTTCAAAGACGTTTCATTTGATATGCATGACGGAAGGTTAAGACAGTGCGTGCGTGGGTGATATGCGTGAGGACGTCACCTAAGTCGCTCGTGATGAGATCATTGGCCTGGTTAATAATTATCAAGTTATTACTGTGTGGACGGCGTTTCCTTTGATATGCATGTCGAAGGTGTGAATAGTGCTTACGCGGGTGATAGGCGTGATAAAGTCGTGCGAGTCGCATTGTGTCACTATGTAGTGACTCATTCATGGCTTTTCCCTGTTAAATTCACTCCAAAGCTATTCACTCCACGCATTCCCGAAAATTCTGGGTCGTTTTGAAGTCACAATGTCATCAGGATTAAATTCACTGGCGTCCGGATTAAATCGGCTGGCGGTTGGATTAATTTCAGTGGCACTTGGATTAAAATGAATGGCACCTGGATTAATTTCAGTGGCGGCTGGATTAAATTGACTGGCGCCTAGATTAATTTGGCTGGCGCTTGGATTAAATTGAGCGGGAAAACCTGTAGTACAGCTGCAAGAGTAGGCACAAAACATCAAGAAGGGTTCCTATGCGTACATGCATTCTGTTTTATTGTTTATGTGTTCTTCTTTTTAATTAATTTTGTTCGTTTGATTGCAATGCGCCTTTTTTTTCAGTGCACTAGTTGTTAAAACGCAGTCTATGCCAAAATGTTTGTCATTGTGTCTTTTCCACTGTTTATTATATTTCATGTTCTTCACGTGACCACTATAACTGTCTGTGGGTATTTCTGTCATCGTACTCAAACATTACTGTGTGAAAATTATTTTTATTGAGTTGGAACCCAAAACATCCTACATCTGCGCACTCAACTATATGCCGCCAGCACGGGGCGTTCTGAAGACGCCAACCTACCCGCATAGTCCCCAGACCTCTTTTTCCCTCGTTTAAACTTATTGGCACCTTGTGTGGCGAACACGACGCGCTTATACGGCTACCACGATACTTGGTTTCAACGCTAGGAACTCGTCGGGACGTGAGCTGACGCGCGCGAACAAAGCACGCCAGCGAGTGGCTGCGTCTCCTGGAGGCTGCATCGTAAGCTCTTTCAGCCTCAGCGCCTCGTTCACGACACTAGGAAAAGCCGTGAGGAAAAGCTACTAGCCACTATAGTTCAGCTGCTGCCAGTGCTGCGACCACTTTCATATAACTTTCATCAACGCCTCCTCTAGAAAGATGCCTGAGGAATGGCTCGCGCTCTCAGCAGAGTTGACCTGCCTTCAGTTTTAAACAAGCTCCGCGCAGTGACGCTCGCGACCGACACTTTTATCACGGCGACGGGTGGTACCTAATGGTACCAGCTAAGCGTTCTTCATCTGCGACCCATAGGGGCGCGTCAGTCGAGAGTTGTTCGAGACCTGCAACTGTGCATCACTGTTTCGGAGGCTATGCAAAGTGTTGCGTTGTTGCACCGTCCGCCACAAGCGACGCTAGCGACCGAGAACATTTTCAAAATGAAGGAGAGAAAGGGTGTGGCAGCTGTTTTTTTTTTCTTATGCGGCAGGCATCTTCCTAGAGGAGGCGTTGCTTTCATCGTCGCTGTGTGTGTAGGCTTAGTGGGTGGCTGCGGTTTATCTCGTCGAGGAGCAGGATGGCCCTCTTCGGATCGCTCATGAGGGACTTCGAGAATGACCCCTTCTTCGGGTGAGTCGAAACGTTCTTAATGGCGGCCGTACAAGGCCCCGCCGCGAAAGAGGCGTCTCCCGTGCGAGCACACGGCCATGAATCCATCCGTGAATGCTATCCGACGCTGCCAGTGGTCGCGAGCGCTGTCTCGACTGCGCTGGTATCGTCGCTCTTTCGGCTGGCACACGACTCCGGAAGACCCAGCGTCGGGGATTGTAATAGCTGTAATCTAACGGACATGGCGCACTTGCCGAAACACACACTTGGCGTGATTACTCGGTGCGCGAAAAAACCCACGCAACCTTGGACCCGATGACGTGTGCATTTTGGGATGTAGCGAGGGGATCTGCATCTTCATACTTTTTTGGCTTGCGAGCTAGAAATGAGGGGGTAGGCTCTTATGTTTTCTTCTTGTTATTGCGCGAAAATACACGTGTAGTGATGGAATGCTTGTATCGTGCTTGACTTGTATCATGTGGCGGCCTGACGGTCGCGGCCAATGACAACCCGTTCCCAAGTCTTTCAGCATCGCGGAGTCAGCTGTCGGTATGGTGTTGCAACAAGTCGGCGACGGCCACCGGTCTCCGAGAAGCTCACACCAGCTGCACGCCGTTGCAGCACTTTGCAGGCGTGAACTGTATTTTCCCTACCAGTCTGTCTACACCAGAACGCACGCGGTCTGTTCTCGCTAGACATCCGCCGCTGCACGTAGAGAAAGCGATAGTGCCTTCGCGAACGCCCTTTCGCGAAACTTCGTGAATGCTTTCAACGCCGCGGAAGGAATAGATCTTTTTGAAGCACACTAGCGCTGCCAACGGGTGCGCAAGCGCTTTTGGGAAAAGTTAGTACGGCGCAGCAGGGACCGCGACTAGCACGCGGGCCTGGCGCTTCAACTTTCGGTTGGCACCGTGCCAGTGCTTCTCAGATCGAGTGAACTCGGCAATGTGTAATATATTACTGTGTGATTCATTCACAAACTTCAGTGTTTGGGTGCGATGGCCCGTTTACGAGTTGCATTTGTCCCCCTGTTCAACCAGCTGAGCGGCTCAGAAGCTTCAGGTAATTATTATTATGCTATAGCGCCAGTCCGCCTTCAGCATAAATAAAAAGAAGCAGTACAACTGGGCTGCCTAAAAGTTGCAAGTAGTGTCCATGAATTCACGGATGTATTAGGAATTGGGAATCAATGTCTTTTGATGCTGTTTATGAGTAAATTGTACAGTTCTGGTATATTCAAAGAGTGCTTTAGAAATGCACACAATTCCATATAATAAAATGCATTGACTAGACCACTGCGCGCCGCTCGCAGCGTATGCATCTACCAACTTCCCTTGGCAGTGTAACTGCAGGTTGGAATAAGTTCTACAAAGAAAAAAGAAGTGCGATTAGGAAAAAAATTATGCACACCGGAAATGCTCACTCACAATTTAAAGTTTATTGCACGTGTTAACAAACATAATAAGTAGTGTGTGTGAAGGGCTGCATGCATCATCTTAGAAATAATGTGCAGGGAAATATGCTGTGAGTTTTTTCAGCGTACACAAGGAAAAATGCCCAGAATAGAAAATTTTCATGTCTCAAAATGGGAATTATTCAGCGTAGTATGGCCCATCACTGTTGATTCACTGTACAGAACATCACTGTAGCAGTTGATTGTCGGTCCACTCATGTGTGAGCGCAAAGAGGTGGGAGCAAAACCTCCTCGCGTGAGCGGCGCGTATCTCCCGTGCCGGCTCACATCACGTCATGGTCCCCTTGAGATTGAGATGGTGTCATTTTTTTATCAACTGTTGCAACGAGTGTCATAGAAAAGATTTTTTTCAAGTGCCAGAGGTCATGTGTTGCCACACTAGGAATTTCCTGCATGCTAAAATAAATCATCCTATTACTCACAACACCTTGTTTTTGTCCAATATGTAAAACTTGCAAAACCCCTTCTAATTGATGTCATAGTTGGAAGCACTGGAAGTGGTTAAGTACATTACATAAAATCCAGCTTTACCTGCACTGATTCAAACATTTCTACATGATTGAATGTTCATATTGTCACAAATGGCACATTTGCGAAACAGCACAGCCTGTGAATGTTAGACCATGGCCTTTGAGATCATGGGCATGCGGAATGTTTCTCTTCGGCCATCCCAGTCGCACGGAGGGCATTTGTTTGCTGAGGTGGGCGAGGCCTGCTCTTTTCTTTGTACTGTGGCGCTCTCAAGGAGGATAGGAAAGGCTGCCACACTGTGGGTGTAGTTTCATGTGGCAAGGAAAAAAATGGTTTCGCGCTTTTCTGTAACTTCGTGCCACTTCGGAAATGTATGCTTAAGATGTACGAGAGGCAAATTCAATGCTGCGACGTATATATTCTCAAATGGGGTAGCTTTTTGCTGTATATTTGCGCCGCACTGATAAGTGAAATGCCTCTTTGAGAGATCCGCATGTGCTTGTGCTGGAAAGTTACTGTGCTTCAAAGTTTGCGGACTGTTAGTATGGGGGGCACTGGTGAAGGAGAAAAAAATGACAGCCTGATCTGCAAGTGAAGGCAGATGAGTGCCGCTTTTTACACACACAGGTTACACTCGATTAAATGGGTTCCTTTTGTTTTCATGAAACTAGCACTGCTTGTCACTGTACATAGTTGCAAGGATTCTTGTAGTTACACTGATGTAATCACAGTGGCGCAGTGGTCACATTCGAATGGTCACCCATTCGAATGGAATGGTTGGCCATTCGCGCTGCGAGTTCTGCGATGTTCAGTGGACATGTTGGGCAATGTAAGAGTACATTAGAAACGGAAGTTGCGCTAGTTGCTGGTTCATGCTTGGCATATAAAAACAGCGTAAAAAAGAGACTGTAGCAGAGATGACAAGGCGCAATCACCTTGTCGTCTGGGCTTCCGCCCTTGCCTCTTTTTTTGTGCTGTTTTTACATGCCGAGTAAGAACAGAGATCTTTTGCTTGCTCAAGAGGAACGCAGTACACGTTCACAGTTTGTTGTATCTGGTATGAAACACTGAGGGTTACATAGCAGTGACAGTTTCCATGTTTTTTCCTTCAGTAGTGTACCTTAATGAATACTTAGTTTTCTTCAGAAAGACTCCATTCTGCCGCATGTGCGACCCTTTATACAGTTGAGAGCAGCATGATACTTCTGTTGCTGTTGTGCTACCGAAACATAATCAAAATACAAATGACAAAGAAGACTATGACAACTTGGGCACATTCTTTGTGAAAGACGTGGGGAGTGAACGTAGGTTGGCTAATCGAAGCCTTCCATTATATTTCGACTAAATTACTTATCACCACATTTCAGTGATATGACCAGGTCACTCATTTATTTAGAGCATAAGTGTGCGTCGGTTAACCACCTCATAAATATTTGTACATGATACAATAGTAAAATAATGAGTCTGGATAGGAGAGCAATACGATTCAACTGATTATTATTAGTGCAGTTTTCACCCAACATGTTTCTAGAAAGGAGGAATGCTAGAATGCCTCTATATATCTCAAATCGAGGTATTTAGCATAGAGATAAAATAGACTGTAATGAAAAAAATATACTACCACAAACTAATTCATACCTCCTTGCAATGATCCAGAAAATTCAGCAGTTGTCACGCTTTTTGTAAATTGGACCAAGATAATACAATAAAAAAAATACATCACTACAGCCACAAGATTCACACGGTGATTCTTGCTCCTACGGGGAAAAAAAATCCAAGCGCGCGCTGGAATCCCATGCATTCTGCTTTCTGCCGCAATCTCCACTGCCGCTGGAATCCATACTGAATGCACCCTTTCGTGGTAGCAGGGCACGCAAGGCGATATTCGTTCGTTTTGCTAGGGGAGCGCGGTGATTGGGACAGCCAGGGAGAAACACACTGCACGCTCACTATCTCAAAGGCCATGGTTAGACCAAATGGGCATTGCACGGACACGGCGAAAAAATTGCCGAAAGCAGTTTCACAGCATTTTAATGTAGCAGGTCACAACTTTGATGACCTCAACCTTTACAGCCTTCAAACTTCTGGTTCCTGATAGATGAAAAAATGTACGGTCCTACAAAAGTGTACCTTATTCACAACTTTAATACACTCCAGTCAGTAGGTATAAATGTTTCAAAAGAGGCTCTAGAGTCCATGCGATATGGCACTTACCCAACGGAAACCGATTAGTGTCAAGTCCTTTTAAGCATTCCTAACTTACCATTGTTACGTGGTGCTTTTTTTCTGACCACCATAATTCAGCGACACGTGTTCTTGTATGTTTGCTACACGCTACTGCTTAGCATTCCTAATTTTGCTCATTAACTGACCACTTTGAGCGAACTTAGTAGAATACCTGCTAAAGCACAAGCTTTGCTCTTTGGCGATTTTAATTATCTGCAAATCAGCTGGAGTAACGGATAGTGCTTTAATTGCAGCAAATGATGCTGCTAAAAGTATTGCTAATGTGTCCGATAATTTTGTATATAGGAGAGTATAGCATTTATGAAAGACACCTCCAATGTGCTCTGCCTTACACCAATAAGCCGTCCTCACAGTCCATCTTTGACTTACCTCCACGAGATAAGCGATTGCAGAGCAATACAGGCCATCTTCTTCTTTTAACTGATGTGAAAGATACAGTTCAGTAAAGCTGTGCATTAATGTGATAAAGGAAACTATGAGGCCATTAATTAGGCAAATTCTTTTCAACCTGTGAGACATAGTTCCCTGTGCACACAGCTGAGGGAAGCTGGACGCTATTTGGTGAGGAAATAAGGGACATTCTAAACACATACCAATAACAATGAATGCACATCAACAAAAGCCTCTGGTTCATTAAAGCTTTGGAGATCTCGGGCAGCCAGAGATAGCAGAAATCTGCCCCACAATTCTGCTGCCATAACAAATGACTGAATTCCTGGACACTGTGCTAACTTGTATCACGCTATGGTGTAAACATACTAACCACCCCTTGTGGTCTCGGTAAGGTACAAAATGAAATTAAATTAGCTGGAAGGAAATGTGGAGACCTATCTGTGCATGTAGTGACTTTATCAGTGCAGCATGTAGCAAAGGAGTCAGCCATCTCAAAAAGAAGAGGGGTAGTTTATGACGTCATCATTTGAGTAGCTTCAGAGAATAGTTTTCTCTCCCCAATTTGTATCGTTTCTTGCACCTTTTCCCTTGCGTTCTTATCTTCTCAGTTCTAAATGTCCAGCTTGTACTTGTGGTGTCTTTTTCGTTCTTTGTCCTGCCCAACTTTCTGTGCCCTGTAAGCTTAGCACAGTTTAGCTCTCATGGAAAGCCAACAACAAATACCTTGCAGGAATACCTTACATAGTAGAAAAATGTTTCAATTGGGAATCTAGATATGTCTCCTTTTTTGTCCATGCACCACTCTTACTTGTTTTTTTGCAGCCCATTTGAAAGCATGACCACTCTTGTTTTTCTACAGTCCATTTGAAGGCATGAGGCAGATGGAGGCCATGCTGGGCCCCATGCTCGGAGCCTTCCCGGGACTCGGGGGCACGCGGCGTTCAGCTAGCCTTGGGCTCTTCCCAACCGACATGTTTTCCACTATTGTAAGTGCCCACTTAACCTGTCTCTTAGTTTTTGCATTGGCCAACAATTGAGGCATTCTAAAATGTTTTGTGTAGGCCCCTAGGAATGCATGTGCTATACTGTGCCATTTTTTTTTTTTGAATGCAGGCACGAATCGTGCCTGCTGAGCTAGGTATTTCTTGTCTTTCTTATATAGAGTGCAGTTGCATGAGTATCGGGCGTAGCTCAAAGTTATTCGCTATCAAGAACTGATCACTTGTTAAAGGCAAGCTATTGACAGTGGCGTCGCAAAGCTTCACAGATAGAATAGTAGTGCAGTTCAGCATAGTTGAATGTTTTAAATGTGCAAGTGTGTGTCCGTGTGCGTACAGATTTTTTCCAACAGCCAATTATTTTATGGAGATGAGCTTCCTATATGCAGCATGGTGAGTGCTGCACGAAGCATGTGGTTTGCCAAAACTTAGCTTGCATTAGCGTGGGACATGTAACAAACGAACACAAGAAGAAAGGTAGATGCTAAACTTCCATCTCTTTATTCCATGCCCTCCACACCCATCTGATGCATGTGCGAAAAAACACAACTCATCCTGCACATTGTCTTAACACAATAAACATCATTTCCTTTTCTCTCAAAGTTATTCATGTCAAGCTCTCACATGTTTCTATTTTCCGCTATAGCTTTGGCTTCTTTTATTCCAAGTGTGAGCTGAACAGGCTGATAATGATACAGGTAAACAGATTAGGGGAGCAACCACAACCTTCAATGCTAGGCACCCTCCCTCTAATTTGCAAGCCAGACTGAAATGCATGTGACATTTGGAGGAATAGGTGTCCTGTATGTGTGTCTGGGTATTATAAGAAAACGTTTGTTGCGTTAGTATGTACAGTAGATACGAACCTAGCTGATACAATTTCTCTTTGATTTGAATTTGTACAATCCCTTGCCGAATTTCATTGTGGCCAACAGGCCAAGCTAGGGATGTTCAGAACACTTGTCCGCATTTTGATAGGTGGTACTGAAACTGTTGAGAGGCACGAGGCAGCAGTGCTCCAGAGGCTTCGGAAGTACATGCCTGGCCATAGTTGAAATTGGGCTTACCAATTGTTGGCCACAGCTGCTGTGAACGAAACTGAGGTCGCTATTGATAGGATCACTTATGGTGAAGATGTAACTCTGATGATACATGTGTGTTAAAGCTTATACAGTCAAAAGCGGCATGCTGCAACTGCTGCAGAAAAAACGGCATTATGCGCGACCATCGATAGCAACTATGTAGTTCTTCAGGCACAAGCACGGCCAGTGCACACGGGTTAAAAACGAAACTACCTTTTGTTGTAACTGCTGTGCACAAAACCGCAGGACTTAATCGATGCAATCATCGGTAGTGACTGCACAGCTCCAAAGGTGCGTGGCTAATGCAGCTGTTGAAAGGCAGAAAAGCTGTAAGAAGGCACGAAGTGTTTTCTTGTCTGCTTGTGACTGGTGTGGAATGGACATCGGCACTTAGTTTTAAGTTGGTGTCAGGGAAATCTTTGACCTGAGCGCTCATGGTAGCCTGCAGCATGTTCGTTCCTGTGTGTCCCAGAAAGACATACATGAGTTACTTTTGCCAAAGTAATGGCGGTCCCATTTCAATGGAGGCAGAATCGTAAAGGCCCTTGTACTGCGCGATTTGAATGCATGTTGAAGAACACCTGATAGTCAAACTTCCCGGAGCCCTCTGCTACAGCATCTCTCATAATCATGTCGTGGTTTCGGGACGTGAAACCCCAGATATTATCAGCCAAAATAAATGTTTTGTGTGTATATTGCAGCTTGACAGAGAATACTTCTTGTTTTTTTTTTTTTGCTGATATGGACATTTTCTCTCCTCTTTGATATTTTTAACACTGCTTTTCTCATGTATTTCAATGGAGCCATGCAAGCCAAAGAGCCAATACATGGCGAGAGGCATGATGATGGTTTGTGCATGCACATGACAATGATGTACTTTAATGATGATAGTTAACAGACAATGATGGCAAAAAAAGTACAGAGGGTGTTATTATAAGTGTTATCTAACTGTGAGGAAAGAAGAGTGGACAAAAACATTACTTGCCACCGGCAGAGACCAAACCTGCAACCTTCGAATAACGTGTCCAGTGCTCTACCAATGAGTTACAGCCGTGGTCATCCCCCCATCCACTTTATATATATATATATATATATATATATATATATATATATATATATATATATATATATATATATATATATATTATATATATATATATATATATATATATGGTCGCCGTCTTGTACACTGGTGCTGGTGCATTTGCACGACTGCGTTCAAGTACACTTGTGCTGCTGCAAAATCATGGAATCTGCCGATCAATTGTTCTGACTTCCGTGCGATTGCCTTGGTGTTTTTTTCTGGCAACCATTGGCAAAGAACAAAGACAATGTGGCGACAACCGAAAAGCGTGCCAGTATAACTTGTCATTGAAAAATAGCCTACTTGTGTGGTGTAGCGCTGCTTTAAGCCTACTGCATGTCTTCAAAAGCCGGCAACTACCTTAGAGCTCTAAGGCGCCAATTGCTACGGCCTCAATAGTTGTGCGGCACCATGCTGAGCGTGCACCACTTTGCAGATACGACAGCAGCTCGCTGTTTCAGAGTTGAGCATTGTGGATCGCCTGTACTGAGACAGCAAGCGTAGCAGACGCTTTCATGAGGCGGCAGCCTAAACGTGCCTCTGTCCGCTGCCAAACCGCTAGAGCACTGGTTCTCAGCCATGGATGTGTTGGGGACCCCTTGCAGCGGAGGGGCCAAAGGTGGGGGGGGGGGGGAGGGGGTACGTAGGTAAAGTAACACAACTGGAGCGTTAAACAGGTAGGTGCCTTTTATTAGGCTTGTGCGAATAGAGAATTTTAGGTTCAAAGCGAATAGCGATTCTGGTTAAATAATTTCGAATCAAATTTGAATAGTGTTATGACATACAAAGAAAAATGGGCATATTTATAATGACCTAACTATAACCAGCACAATATATTTTTGTATTGAAATAAGGCCTCTATGCAAATGTCTTTTTTTTTTTTTGGTTCACTGGAAGTTGAAACAACTTTGAGTAGTAGCGAGATATGAGTTTCGGGAGGATGCCAGTGATTCTTGTAAAATAAGTAACATTTTAAATTTTATTTTACATAGAGTGTATGAGCTGTCATAACAAGCTTTTAAGCTCAATAAAATGATGAATTGATTTGAGGGTAACATGATCATTATAGGGGCCCTGCAACACTTTTTCATGTAGCCATGGAGCCAGTAAACAAGCTTGTTGCCTTGCAAATTTACCACTGCAAAATTTTTAGAATCAGTCCAGTACGAGTGGCGGAGTTCAAAAATCAGTCGCACGCTGCAATTTAATTCTCTCTTTTCGTCCTGACGAAATAGCTGGAAACTAAGCAGGGAGGAATCGCACGGCGTAAGAATATACGTCACGTGCACCTCGTGCCCGTGAGCACCTCTTTTATTTTTTCTTACAATATGCGGCTTTTCAGAGTGATCGCGTCCCGCACGCATGGACACATCGCGGCAACCTGCTGAGGCTCCACTGACGACCAAGCGCGCCAGATTCAAATCAGCCAATGGCTGATGCAATAGCTGTGACGAGTGATTTTTGAGCTTGTCGTGTCATTTGCCGAGAGAAGAGAGCAATTTTCAGCGAGCTTTGAGACTTTACTGTGCATCGCAGGACGCGTTAGGTGCTATATTTGGCTCGTGTGTTCTCAGAAGCCTTTACTGTCGATCGAAAGCGTTTTGTGACTATGCTCAATAAGTGTTGCAGGGCCCCTTTAAATGTGCAGGGGGACTTCGCGGCAAAGCAGATTTTCTCTGGGTGGGTGCTTTCACGGCTTAGCACTCTGACACTGCTGCAAAACTACCTTTACAAGCCGTTACATGCGGATTAATATACACCTGTTAATTCATTGCAAATACTTTGAAATTTTCAATAATTTAAATTAGAATCGAATTCGAATACTCTACCATTCATTTGAATATTTGAAGGATTTGAATATTCGCATAAGCCTACCTTTTATTTCTACGAAAAACGTCAAACAAACATGCCACATCACTTCATTTATTCGCACAAGCCTACCTTTTTATTACTACGAAAAACATCGAACAAACATGCCACATCACTTCATTTTGGACAGTTCATCAATATGTGGCATAGTCACGCTTAAAAAAAAAAAATGTGGGTGAGGGTGTTGCGGATCATAGAAGTGGCTTCGCGGACCCCCTAGGGTCCGGGGACCCTCATTTGAGAACCACTGCGCTAGAGCATCGCTTGCACAAAGTTGCATTTGTGGACGGTCTGCAGCGGAGTAAGCGAAAGCGGCTCGGCACGATGTGTATGCCAAGTAGGTGAAGCGCTGCACGCAACTAGCGAGTAGACGATCAGCTCCCTGAACCGTTCCACATCTCAAAAACGTTTCAGTTTTCACTAAGTAGCATATCATGGGACAAATGTATTGTGGACAGTCAATTATGTCGGTTTTATCACTATATTAGTCGCTGCGTTGGCTGCGTATCCTGGACTCTGAAGTAGTTTCGCAATGCTCTTCGGTGTCGTCATTGCATCGGACGGCGGGCGGCTAGCCGATTATGCCTCTTATTCGCTATGTCAGTCGCTGCATTGGCTGCGTATTGCGAACTACAAAGTAGTTTTGAAATGCTATTCGGTGATGTATCCCGAACTTTCAAGTAGTTTTGAAAAGCTTTTCGGTGCCACCATCACATCGGATGGCCATGTGAGAATGTCAGTCATTTCTGAACATGGGCAAGAAGAAAAAAAAAATTACTTCATTACTTCTTACTACCCAAACAATAGAAGCCAATACCCTTTACCACATGCAAAGCTCAAGCGCGCGCAAGAGGTAGCTTTTTGCATGCTACAGACGAGATTGTACCCATCACGGGGCCGACTCAGCCGTTGCAACTCGTAGATACACAATGCCCACACTGCTCAGAAGTGCA